TTTACTTTCCTTATAATATATATATTGAGATTTCCAAGAAAATATTGCCATTTTTGGAAGCTTATAAGATTAATGCCCAATTGTGATTTTTGAATTTTTGAATTTTTTGAATTTTTTAATTTTTGAATTTTTTAATTTTATCCCCTCTGTTAAAATCCATATAATATTATGCTTTTTGTCTTATGTGAATTCGCGATTTTACCCTCCTGGCTCTTTAAGGCTTCTCTTATTTTTTACTATAAAGTAGTAAAATGACATTGCAAAAAAAGGGTAAATAAAAAACTTTTGTTGTTTTCGTTCTTTTTTTTTCTTTTTTTGAATGTCGATATTTTCGATTTTGGAGGGATTTGGAGAGATGATTTTTTAGAAATTTCACTCATATGATAAATTTGATATCTATTTTAACAAATATAACCATGTTTTTTTTTCTTAATATAATGTATACTTTGACTAATTTTAGTATGTTTAATTGTAAACTCTTAAATTTTTATTTTTATTTTTATTTTTTTGAGAAAGTAGAATTTCAAATTTGAAAATATGTTTCTGATTTTATGTTATTTTTTACCATAATTTTTTGAGATCATCTTGATATTTAAATTTTATCTTCATCCAGATTTTTCTTGATAAACAGGTTAAGGTATTTGAATGTGAATAAGTACTATCCCTTCCCGTCCCCACTTCATTCCATAATTCATAATTTAAATAATTCATTTCATATCTTAAAGTAGTCAAGGTCGGGGTTAGGAAACTATTGAGAAAATTCGTGATTTATATTTTATTTTCATAATTTTTATAAATCAATACATCTTCATGAGTTATTATAATTAATTAAAATTTTAAATGCAGTCAGCCGCTTCCCCTGTAGTCGTCAGCTCGTTCTTGCCCTCGTATTCCAGTATCTCGCTTTCTTTTCGTGTTGTTGCAATGCTAACGAGGTACTAGCTTTTCTACAGAATTCGTACATGAGAACCATTTATCCATTAGATCACATCCCCTACGCCTTTTTTTTATTGCTCTACTTTTAACTTATATTCATTTTAGTTCATATAATTTCGAAACGTCCATTTTGGTTCTCATACATTTAAAAAACAATCATTTTAGTCCTTTCATTTTCATTTTTGTCTCATTTATTTGAATCATAAATTTAGCATGATGCTTTACTCCATAATTTGTTTGAAATGTAGTCATAAATTTGTGTTAAATATTGTCGTTTATAAAATTTAAAAGTACATTGATCAAAATAAATATTTTGAAAGTACATAAACTAAAATAAACAAAAATTGACAGCAAGGATCATCTATGCATCATTCATAGATCCTCACAAAAATTTAAAGTAGATCACATAAATACATACCATTTTGCTCCATCTCACAATGTGCATTTATAATGTGGAAATGAACCAAATTTTAGGCCAATTAGGTGAAAATATAAATGGGAAATAGGAACTCCAATAAAACATCTTTTTTCTTTTTTTCATTATTGACAATAAACTTATAAAACCTTTACTCAAATAAAATTATTGTATTATAAATTATTAACGAAACTTTAATTAATTAATTATAGATTTGTCGTCGGAATTCAAATTTTGGAGTTCAATTAAATGCAATCTTTTGCGTTCTTATTTGTCTTTTTTCGGGGTAGATCTAGATTATACCTTATTTGGATTTAATAGATAGAATTTAAAATTTGTACAAAAATAATAAAGATATATATATATATATATATATATATATATATATATATATATATATTCAATAAAAACGACAAAAAATAAGTAATTACATATAAAGACCACACAAAAAAAGGAAATAATTAGAATAAAGAGAGGACGGGAGATCAAACATAGTAATATGTTTTCAATTCATATGATAAAATGCTGCAAACACATGTGGGGACGGGAGATCAAACTCACAACCTTATGATTGGAGGTATATATCAATTACATATATGCTAATTGCCGCTGAGCTATGCTCGTTTTAGTGATCTCCGAACCACTTAGATTCATTCAATGTTTTCATTTCTTATTTCCTTTTATTTTTTTTTGACTTTTAGAAACAAAATTATTTGGTAAACTGTTTTTTATTAAATATTTTCCAAACTTGTGTATATATTTTCTAAAGTAACAAAATCAAGCCTATTGTTATTGTTTATATTTTCAAATCATAAATAAAAGTATTATCTTGTCATTTTTAACTTATAAAATGCACAATAGATCTAATGAATGTGGGTGTTGATGAACTTTCACTATCATTTGAATGAATTTTTTTTATGTTGATATTTTTTTTTTATTTCTTTTGCAAATTGTAGGCAACCAAACAAAGGAATGTGGGTGACGTACAAGGGAGTTTGGTTGCATCTAATGAATGCCCATTTCTTGCAACTCAAATAAATAAAATTAATCAAAATATGGATTATTTATTTATTTATTATTATTAATTTTTTTTTTTGCAATTGATTTTGACAAAAAACATTACGTCCATCCAAACCCAAAAACATTCAACACTGACAAAATAAATGATGTGTTCTCAATTATTTACCCAAAAACCATCATGGGATTGAGATTGACACCTTCCTAGGTTTTCATATCTTTTGCCTTTCTCTCTCTCTCTCTCTCTCTCTCACTTCCATTTATGGCTTTGAGTTCATTTTGTATCAATTTTTTTCATCATTTTATTCACCCCATTTGGAAGATGCAAAATATCTCATCACTGTTACCACTTCTAACTTTAGCCAAATTTTCATTGCAATGGGAAAAAAAGGAATGTGAATTTTGGAATTACCACATGTTTTACCTTTGGTTTTTTACATTTTTAACCGTTTTGCTTGTTATTGTCGATATACACATGTGGCTAAACATACAAAGCCATTATAGGACATCTTTTTTGCTTTATTATTATTATTTTTTTAATCCAACACTATGTGCAATTCGTCAACCTTTTGGTCGATTATAATTGAGCTTTATTCAGATTAGCTGAAATCTTAATTTCATAATTGCAGGTCGAGAGGTTTGAGTCGTTTATTCATGGGTTGTCATGTCCACGGTTGTAGAAAGGTTCTTGTAGTACCGTGTGAGATTTTTGTTCAACACAATGTGAAGATTTAGTAACAAAACCAAGACGAACTTTTTATGCGTAATTTATAGATTACAAAATAAAAAAAGACTCAACCTTTGAAAGCATCAAGATCGAAGATTTAAACTTTATGACAACTACGAGTAAACAACGCCCCGTGTATTATTCTCCCTTTCTATAAATACAGAACCATTAAAAAAATTCAAATACAAGACCAGCTAATAACTTTTGGTTTTTTCTTGCCCCTCTTCATTGATTATCGCATTACGAGAAAAAATCCAACACAAACAAAAAAAAGTTCTAAAAACCCAATAAAAATCAAAAGAATCAAGAGTAGAAGATAGCATAAAAACCCATCTTTAGCAATTTAATGATGTTGTTACCAAAATTAGTAGAGCATAAGATGATGAAGAAAAGGGAGAAAAAAGGCTAAATTAGGGATGCAAAGAAGAGTAAAATGAGGGGTGGGAAAGGTGGAATGATTCCATTCAATTTTAGTGATGAAAGCCCATACGCTTCACTTTTTTCCATTTTTTGTTGCTCATAATGCTCCTTTATTTGTCTCTTTCTACCCATTTTGCAATTTGCAATGCCTTGTGATGTCAACAAATGCCTTTGCTTTCCCTTTCATTTATTGGATTTTTGGGCTCAAATTGTGGGACTTCAAAGGAAAGTGCTTCCTTCAAAATCACTTGGCTTTGGGAGGGAATAGGGATCCTCTACATCATGTCACATGAAAAGTCTCCTTTCATTTTATCGGGACAACGTCGTGTAATGATCGTCTATTAGTGACTTGAGGGTGACTTTGATTGTGACCACTAATATCACTGTTTACGATTTTTTTGACATGTTGGAGAGAAATATGTAAAGATGGGAAGAAAAAGAGATTTTTGTAAGAATATTTTTATCTTTTTCAAAAAAACAAATAACTGTCAACATTTAGAGATCATACATTCTAGCTGTCAAGTTATGTGATCTTTTAAAAAAACGTGTTATCTTTTTTACTTTTGATTATCTAAAACATATTTTAAAAGGACTCTAATAGGGTAAACCTAAAATTTCACCCTTCTAAAACTAATTTCGAACTCACTTTAAACACAAATACTGCTCTAGAACTTAAAAAAAAATAAAATAAAATAAACTACCATTCTTTAGGGGTGGTTTATGCAATTTACCCAAAATTATAAAGATTAACCTAATATATATTTAAAGAATTTACCGATAAATAAAATATTTATATATCATGGTTAACTATCATTATATTCTCTGATTATTTTTTTCCTTAATTATTCCTTATTTAATTTGAATATGATTTGAAATCTATTTGATTTGTTTTGAGATTATTTTGAATATGATTTGAAATCGTTTTGATTTGTTTTAAGATTACTTTTTATTAGTTGACCTAAGGATATTTTATTGATATTTTTCAATATTATAAAAATGTTCCTTTATCATTTTAGTACAAATATTTGGGGATGATATGTGATAGAAACTTCAACCTCTCACAAAAATTAGTACCAATTTTTTTTTTTAAGTTATGTTAATGCTGACGTGGATTTACTTAACTTTCTTTTTTTTAAAGAGATTTACCTAAACCTTAAATAATGTTGATGTTTAGGAATATTTAATACCTTAATTATAATTAAACTAATTTCTAATTAATCCTCAAACTAAGAGGGTGTGAATTGATCACATCCCAAATTCTCTTCCCAACATATTGTATTAAAAAAAAAATTATAACTTAAGCTTCAAAATGTGCGACAAAGTCATGTTCCTTAATTAGGTAGATGGGGCACCAAAAATTTTAGTTGCGTCTAGGTCTTGTATGGTTTTGATTATATATAGGATAATCAATCCAAATAATGATTGTGTGGTTGGTACATCTCACAATTTATATAAGGTTCCCTATAATTTGTGTACAAGTTCTTCGTACTTTGTAAATCATCAGTCGTGTTTAAGTAGGTTGAGCTAGATCCCTTACTGGGAAGACCCCCTCTATGATCCGGAGAACCGGCACACTGACCCTATATCAATCACCGCCTGCGTTATCAATGGAATGATTAGCTAACCTTCGACGGTCTGTGAAGTCTTTTCTCCCGACTCTTCAATCCTAGTATACGAAAGATCATATCTATTCATTCCCGAGGTAGTACTCAGTATACCAGAGCTTACAAAGTTTTACTCAACTCAGCTCGCGATCCACCTCAAGATATCCAATTCAATACTGAGTCCCAGGTTTGTAATATTTTGGTCAGCATAGTTTGAAAAATCGACGACATTTGATCACTTAATTTTATTTTTAATATAATTACAATTTCAATACTAGGCTGTACTTAATATATATTTTTTGAAATGTAATTGTTTTTAGGTAAACACGAAATGTCATGCATCAAATAGGTCAACTAACTCCTGAAGGTTAGTTAGCTAGGCTCTTAGACATCCCATATAAATGAAAGCTGACATCCTTTACCCAAACTGCTATGCACCTTAGAGGATACGTCAAGCCCCTATCTACAGAAGAGTGAGAAAAGGTAGATGTCGGTGGTCCCCGCGGACCCTCAGCACTCGACATGCCTCTCCCATGTGGATGATGAAGGGAGTTGGAGACCTCCCACTCGAACACTCTCTTTATACGTATGTATAGAAGATAACAACCCTAATCAAAACAAGTCGTATTTTCCCTACATAACTCTTTGCAATGATTCGATACACATTCTTAAGCAAATTTTCACTCTTGATATTATTGCTCTCGTATTATTTCTACTTCATACCTGTTTGCCCTACTTGAGTTATAATTAAGCATCAGAGCATAGAGCACAACATCGGTGCAAGGTTTTTGTGTCTGTATACATTAGGTTTTTAGAGACAAAGACGATAATGTGGCACCCGCATGACACCTACATGTATCTTACTAAAAAATTGGCATAAAAAATAACTATAACTTTATATTAAAAAGTTTATACTGTGTATATAAATTATGTTAACATTTTATAAATAAAGACCAAAGATGACTCTTTTTAAAAATAGAGGATAAAATGAAAACAAACTTTAAAAATGTAACGAAAATGAATTAAAATCGAAAGGAATTTTTTAAATAGGAATTGAAAGGATACGAGTTAACTTGTCAAGCATTTGCCTATGATTAGTCGAGGTGTGCACAAGTTGATCCGGATATTCGGATTTAAAAAAAAAAAATCATATATATATATATATATTCGTAACATTTACCGTCTTTGATACAGGTTGACCGAGCTGAGTGGTGGACTGGCCTTAAACCCTATAAACCTTTCCCTCTTCAACATTCGCCTTCTTCAGAACTCTGCAAAAATCAAAGTCTCTAAAATCCTCTTCGAATTTCAATGCCGTGAAGATGCTTCGTCCTCCTGCTTCTTCTTCTTCCCAGCAGGTAAATTCCTCTCAATTCCATGGTCTTTTTGCTAACTCTACATCACTCTCAAGTTTTAATTTCTTCATCTACTCAATCGGTAGTTACCCAATCAATCTCTCGCCAGCTCTGCCAATGGACTTCAAAATCCCGTCCAAATTCAGCCCCAAAACCAGGGTTCCTTCTGCAATCCCAACCCCCATATGAGCAATGTCCATGGCAACCACGTTCCCAACATGCCGCCCCCAATGTTTCAACCGGGATTGATGATGAATTTTCCAAACCCTCTCATGGCGTTGCATAATAATCCTCTTGCCGCGGCTCAATTTGCTCCGGGCCATATGGGTTTTGCTTTACAGAACAACGGGTGCAACACGAACCCAGCTGCTAATTTTCAGGCTCAGGGGCAATTCAACATGGTGCCGGGTGTGAATCAGATGAACATGAACCCGTGTTTGCCTCTGGCGCAGTTGTTTGGGCAGAACATGCCGAATTTAGTTCAGCAATTGAATCAGAACATGGGTTTTTCAAATGGGCAGTTTTGTTTGCCGTATCAAAACATGAATCAGCATGTAATTCCTGGGCAGATGTTGAATATGTCGCAAGTTAATCCTCAGCCGTCTCCCCACACTTCATATGGTGGTCCAAATCAAGCTGTTCCCATGGTTCTTCAGAATCCCGCCATTTCTACAATTCAGCCTTTTGGTGTCAATCAGGCAATGCACCAAATTAACCAGAATCCTCAAAACTTCACTCCACCGGCAATGGGTGGAGCTGGCTTGAAACAGTTTCCGGGTTCGGCTCAACCGTTGCAAGGGAATTCAACCATGCCATTTAACTCTTCGGCTCAACCACAACAAGCTAGGAACTTGCAGTCACCTGCTGTCGTTGGGTCACAGGTTCTTGTTGCATTTCAGACTGTAAATTTGATAAATATGACTAGTTCATCATCCTTAACAGTTATGCTATACTCTGATTGATAAATATGACTAGTTATGTATTTGATTGAATGCTTGGGAAGTATGAAAAATGTCTCATCTAAAGGGAACATGGAACATGAGATGAGAAGAACAAGTTTAGAGGCAGTTCTAATATTTGCATGGATTTCTGAGAACCAATTGATTCTCACGACTTCAAAATGTCAATGTTTTTTCCTTTTGAGAAATATGTTTGTGTGTGTAGGAAGAATAGTTAAGTAGTGTTGAATGATTGGGGAAGGTGTTGGGATGAGGTGTTTAGTGTTGCCAAACGTTACTGCTCTTTTTTTTAGTTAAATATTTGTAGCAAGGTGTAAAGAACATTCTGCGATCAATCGACTTATCTCTAAGTATTATTGATTATTACAGGGAAATTCTTCAATAAATGGTGGTGGAAATGGACCAAATTCATTTTCGAAAAATTTAGACCAGAAGAACTTCACAAGGAACTCAAAGAAAGGGTATGTTAATTGTTATGTCAAACTTTTATTTTATATTTGTTCTTTGAATTTGAGGGTCTGTTTTCTCAATCAACTCATGTAATGTAGATTTCAGAAGAATCAAATTCATCATATGAAAAATGAGAAGAAAAAGTTTGGGTTTCCTGGCGGACAGAAAGGAAAAGGTTTGTGGTTTCACACAGAAGCATATTATTGCAAAATTTAATTATATACCATCTCTCATTGATGAAAATAATCACTTTAGGATCGGCTTTATAAATTTTTAAAATAATCACTTTAGGATTACTGGTTTTGTTACCCTGATGAGGTCTCCATAGCAATAAAAGTGCTGGTCTTACACCATGGACGTATAATTTCTTTGCTCCATTGGTCATTGAAATTTTTTGATGTATTCAGTTGAATTACTTCAACCCGTTTAACTCAAAGTTCTTGAGATTGTATCTGATGTTGTGGCTGCTAAAATCTTATTTCGACTTGGGAATCACACTTGCGACAAATTTAAGTCATAGTTGATCATGAATTTAGTGCCTTATTCTTCTGCTTGTTATCTTTCTTTTTGTACTAACTTCACTTTTAAGTTTTAGTTGAGGCTGAGAACTGATGATGAGTGTGCAGATTGAATTCTCTTTTTCTTGTGATTTTAAAAGGAAACTATGATTTGTTTCCCCTGTAACTTATAAAACATTATTAATAGAGAATGTAAACAGGTTTTCACAATGATAGGAGGAACAAATTTGGTGGCGCTTGTTCTACAGATCAAGTGAAAGACCAGAAGAGGTGTGATACTCTCTTGTTCTTGCATAAATATAACATTAACTGTTTCAACTCTTAATTTTTCTTGAGGTGTATTATGCATATTCATGGAAGTATTTTCATCTTATATAGCCTCATTTTGGGATTAGTTTTCTTTTGTAGTTTTCATATTATGTTGCTGTTTAAAGAAATTGAATATTCAGAAATGATATTAACGTTTATTTAATTAGCTTACATAGTTCTATCATGGTTTTAAGTAGATTATGGCCAATCACAAAATGTTACCGACTCTGTTGGAAATTCATGGACTGTGTTCAAATTAGAGTATTGCTTTCTTTATTGGTTTGTGAAAGCCACAATTTGTTCTTGTAAGTTAAACTTTTCTGTTGTGGCTCCCAGTCTCATGTTTAGTTCATATTTTCACAAGATCTCTCTCTCCGGTCTACACGGAGCAAGAAATTCAGCAATGGCGTGAAGCACGCCGAAAGAATTACCCATCATCAACCAACATATGGAAGGTTCGACTTACTTCCCTATTCAAGTTCAGGTCATGGTCAGGTGTGTGTCTGATCTCATGCTTAGTCAAGTTGTCAATGTGCTGAAAATTTACGTTCCTCCAGAAACTCACTGAAAAACAAGCTGACTGCACATTGGTCGATAAGGAGGCTCACCTTCTGCGACAAGTACGTATCTTGTTTTTCCTCTGTCATTTTCTTTGTTTTTCCTCTGTCATTTTCTTTGTTTTTCCTCTTATAAGGGCGAGGGAGGTGGCACATTCTTTCCTTAAAATCCATTTAGAAGTTGGGTTCTGTTTAGAAATGGAGTTTGAAAATTGAGAACAGTTTTCTAATTTTATTTTTTTGATTGAAAGAGCTTTAATTTCCTTGAGAAAAACGAAAGAATACAAAATGGTCCACCAAGTTTTCTAATTTTTTTTTTTTTTTTTATAAGAAACCAAACTTTTCATTGAGAATAATGAAAACAAAACGGATGTACACGGGCATACAAAAACAAAGCCCTAAAGAGGGAAGCCAAACTAAAGAAAGGGCCTCCAATCCAAAAGAATATGACCTAACTGACAGTTACGAAACAATTTCGAAACAGACCCCCATAAAGAAACATTAAACCTTATGAGGTCCCAAACAGACTCCCACTCTCTTTCCACCCCCCTAAAAATTCTATTGTTTCTCTCCAACCAAATCCCCCACATGATCCCAAAGAAACCCGCCTGCAAAAGGAAACTCCCTTTCTCATGGAAAGGAGAGGACATAATCACTTCCTCCACCATCGAACCTCACTTTCCGTGACGAGCCCAAGAAATACCAACCAACTCAAAGAACCAACCCCAAATTCTTTGGGAATACTGGCACCGTCATAAGATATGATCAAAATCCTCGGAATCTTGCTAACGGTTATAAAACTAGAAAGAGGCAGTTGCAGAAGCAGTTGCAAAATAGAAACACGACTCTCATATTGACTTTCTTTTTTCTTTTTAGAATATCATACTGACTATTTATACTCGTGTAGTCTGATAAATAGTAACTTAATTCCTTTTGCTGACATGACACCTGACCATATGAGGAATTTTGTAAAAAAAAATCCGGCGCCTACTCGTGTATCAAAATCACATAATTATGAATAATAATTTTTAAATTATAAAGATCGTGCTAACGGTTGCATTAAATCATGAATGTTATTTATGGTTATCCTAGAATTAGTCTAACACTGTTTTAACTTTCTTCTAAAAAAGGAATTAGGTACGAAAACGACCGAGTAGAGTAACTGATACGATAATCTTCCTTGTAAAGGAAAACAGTAGAGTTTTCAGAGAAACAATAGTGTTCTCAGAGGGGTAGAGAGGTTAGTGGAGACTACTTGGGAGCTTGGTAGATTTAATACTTCATCGTGGGTTTCGGTTACAAAAGAGTTTTATAACTATCACTTAGATGTTAATATTATGGATTGGAGCTCCTTTTTGTAAGCGCAACTTCTTTTTTAATGCCCTTGTATATTCTTTCATTTGTCTTAATGAAAATTCGTTTCTTATCCAAGAAAGAAAGCATGGAAACGGCCGAGTAGAGTTACTGATACAAGAATCTTCCTTGTAAAGGAAAATTTTTGGCGACCCAATGTGAGAATATTAACTAAGAAGTGAATTGAAAACATGTTTGCAGGAACTCAAAGAGATTTTAGCGAAGCAGGCTGAATTGGGAGTTGAAGTTGCAGAAATACCACCAGAGTATCTCTCATATTCAGAGAAACGTGACAATCAAAAGCGACGCGGAGATCTATTAACTAGAGAGGAAGCGGAAGGACCATTGACAGGGAAAGAGAAATCTCGAAACAGGTCAAACAAGAGGGGAAGGCCTGACAAGAAGAGTCGTCCGAGAAAGAAGGGCAAATCAGAGAGGCATTTACCGAACGAGAACGCGAATGCGAACGTGTTGCCATTAATCAAGAGAGAGCCGACATTATTGCAGAAGCTCTTGAAAACAGATGTGAAGAGAGAAAAAAGCCAACTGTTACAAGCTTTGAGATTCATGGTGATGAATTCTTTCTTCAAAGAATGGCCCAATAAACCATTGAAGTTTCCATCAGTTATTATCAAGGAGAATGGAGGTGAGATCAATGTGGTTGATGAGAACAACTCTCTGTCTTCTGTGAATTTCACTCTCCAAGAGACAAACAATTCAATTGTTGAAAAACTTGGCAACGACAATGACAACAGCCACAATGACAACGATGATGACAACAGCGGTAACGACGACATCGAGAAGTTCAAAGGATGTGGAATGCATGTACCCGAAGAGGAAGAAGGAGAAATTATCGATTAGCGTTGCTCTTTTACCGCTCCCACCGGGTTCCTTCAAAGTACTATGAAAGCTTGTATTGTGCTCAATTTTAGCAACACGTACCAATTAAAAGGAGATCATTCTTGGAAAACAACTTTATGTACAAGTTTAAAGGAACTCTTTGTTTATGTAACAACCCTTCGCAATTATGACAAAGCAACTCTTCGTTTTTTTCCTCTTTTCCTTTTTTCCACTTCATTTTAGTGTAAAGAGAAATCACAGTCCATTATGCTGCTTCAGAATAACTCACCAGTTGCCATTTTTTTAGCAGTAAGAAAAGAACAAAAAGCTGACGAATCAATCAGCTCCTAGCAACAGTTCGAAAGCCAAAAGGGGGAAGTTTTTTACCAAATGTCATCTTCTTCCATCATTGTTTCTTGTCTGGCTAGATCGTGGGCCATCGAGTTCCTCTCCCTTCCGATGTGGATGAATGAACTGATTCCTACAACTTCAGCGAGAAGAATCATCTCCTCAATGAAAATGGAAACTGCTCTTAGGTCAGTTTCTTCTCTATTCAGCAGCATGGGCTCAAGGGAGGTTGATTCACCTGAATATCGAACTCCCATTCACCCTTGATTGATTTGAAGCCCTAATATATTGCCATTACTTCCAAAACTTTGACAGCTCGTTTTTCCTTGATGCTCCAGTTACAGATGTTGATGAAGTTCCCTGTGCAGTGAACCACCTAGCACCAACGTCGATCTTCCATTATTTCAGGGGTGGAGGGGCTAGGCTGCTTTGGCCAATATAATTCTCCTTCACACTCTGATTAGGGATAGTTCCTCTTTGCTTTCTAGTTTCTCCTTTCTCTTACTCTTTTTAAAAGCTATCTTTCTCGAGTTAGATCATGCTGTTCTCTGTTTTAGATGTTCAATCTGCGAGAAGTTGCTGTTAAATTATTTGTAGGTGCTAATGATGTGCCAATGATCCATGAGGCAGATGTCGGCGTTGGTATCAAATGGTCGGTAGGGTCGGCAACTGGCAAGCTATCATGGCATCAAATCGGATTTTTCCATAGGGCAATTTAGATTTTTGGTTCCTCTTCCATCGGTCCATTGACATTGGAATTACCAGCGGATGGGCTACATGATCATGTACTACTTTTACAGAAATGCAGTGTTTGTGCTTGTTTTATTTTGGTAAGTAATCCTTATCTAGATTACAAAATACAACTAAACAATCATGAAAGTAATGCAAAGAACACAAGAAGCAACTTATTACAGTTTATCAGACTTCTAATGTTATCATGTGTTCCCAGGTATGTGCTCTTTACCGGTTTCTCATAGACGCCCACAATCAACCAATGGGGAGTAGTGTGCTCTACTGTATAATCTATACTTGGGGTTGCCCACAGTTATTATTGGAATTCTTGATAAAGACATGGGAAGGACTCTTCTTAGTTACCCTCAGCTTTATGAGGCTGGCCTCAGAAAGGAGACTTACAACTCTGAATTGTTTTGTTTAACAATGATCGACACTGTCAGGCAAAGAATTGCTCTTTTCTTCATCCCCCTCCTTGCATACTGGGCTACCACCATTGACGTTTCGAGCCTTGTGATATCTGGTTCATGGTTCGCTGTGATTTGGGGCACCACTTTTGCAACTGTCGTTTGGGTCATTGTCTTTGATTCGCTACCGTCACTTCCCAGTTACCGGTATGTTCCTATTTCGTACTGTTTCTGAATCTCCAATGTCGCATAATGAAATATTGAGGCTAACTCTGCTATATGCTGAGTAGCTCATCAATAGCTTTTTAAAACTTCACCATCTTAACCGTAAAATGACCAAACTCTAAAACTAAGCCAGGGCGATATATCACATGGCAGGCACGCGCCCTTTTGGCTATGTTTGTTAGCAATCGTCATAGTAGCATTACTTACCCGTTTTGCCGCGAAATACCTTACCGATATTACAATCCATGTGACATCTAGATGGCAAGACAGGCTGATAAATTTAGAAGGACAGTAGAGTTCCGGTCCAGTAGGAAAGAAACTTGTAGCCTTTTTTTGTCATGCTTCTCCCAGAGGTCTTAGGTTTGGAGAAAGCTGCCATCAATAGGATTTTCTTAATCCTCCCTTCCCGCGAAGGGGGAGATTGACAAACAAAGATCATCCACCAATCCTCAACAGTCCTCACAAGTATGACAATTTTTTTCTTTCTTTTTTTCAACATCTTTTGATCTCGCAGTTTTACATGTTTCTTCATATAAAAAGAAAAAAAAAATCTCAATTCCTTAGGCCTGTTGCCAGTTACCCTACAAAGGAATTGTAATATAATTTTTTATTTTTTATTTTTAATTTCACGTGCATTTAAGGAATATTTTTTGGATTTGCCATAGCGACATTCTTCTCAGACCTCAGAGCACGAATTTCTTCGGCAAGCCAAAAAATTTCAGTAAAATCTTCGTCTTCTCAACTAATCATCCGTTCGACTTCTAAAGAGTCGGTTTTCAGGTAAATGTCAACACCTTTTGCATCATCCACACTTTGTAATCCCTCTAGCATAGCCATATTTGCCACAAAATCACCATAGAAGACAATCCCAGTAATCAGCAATCGACAATCCTGTCCTGTCATAGCAACTAGATCTAGGATTAGAATTTAGAAAATATGCCCACGTATTTTGGGTTACCTGACAATCCCAGAAGAGATGTTTCGTCGTCTCATCATGTTTCCCACAAAGAACACAACTCAGGCGGTTACCCTGTGAGATGTTTCGTATTTTTTGTTAGAATGTCTTTTGTATGCAAGTTGGATTCATGTGGAATAATATCATATTTTTAATGATGACCAACTACCTTAGGAATTAGTAATTCTTATGGGTTTCCCAGCACCAAATGTTGTAGAGTCAGACGATTACCCCGTAAGATTAGTCGAGGTGCGCCTAAACTGACAAAGGCACTCGCGGATATAAAAAATATATATATCGTTAAAAATTTTCCAACAGCATATTCTAATTTTGGGAGGAACTTTGGTCAATCTCCGTCATGTTGGCCACCCCCATTCCCAAATTGCAAGCGCTTTTGACTGAGAAAATCGTTTTTTTTTTTTTTTAATTTGCAAAATGAGATTAGTCTCTAATTCCATAAAACTGGTACTTATCTTCCATCATTCTACTTATCAAATTATCCTCGCTTAGCATCCTCGGATCCATCCCAATAGAAACAAAGAACCCATTTCCTATCCTCCAGCGATAGCCCCTCACGAAATGATCGAAATATACATGACATTAATTCAAATGGAGGGACCAAGAATTTTTATTAGTAAGATATAAATTATCTTTACTTTATCTTTGACACTACATTATTACTTTTTAATTTAACAAGAGATAAACATTTTAACCGTCGAAATTTAGAAAAGCAAATATTACATTGATTAATTGAGTCATGCTCATGTCAATTTTAATTACCGATAATATAACTACTCATTCTTGTGTTTCACATATGGTATATGTCTTCCATCACTTGTTAATTGTTTATTTTCCATCATGCATCATTCTTTTTTTCATGTTTCTCAAATAAAAAGAGTACAAAAATTTCACGTATAAAACACGATAGGTTATCCTCTACCCAAAAATAATGGGTTACATGAGTTCTTTATCTATGCAACAATTACATCTCAAATCTTTGAAAAGGGAAAAAAAATCTCAAAATAAATAATCTCAATACATTCAACAAATTTACAAAGAAAAATGATTACAACCATCCTACCAGTAAGTGACTAATAGATAATGGCAAAAGATAGATCCACATCCAAAGTAACCATTCGGCAGTTTGAATTGTAGACTGCAACTCACCTGCATGAAGTTGAAATTACTGGTTAGCTTATGAACTTATAAACTTATGTATCGAAAAAATGTAAAATTTCAGTTTTACATGACCAGAATTCAAGATTTTAAATGTCGAGGTCTCGATTTTATGGAAATATTAATAAAGTGTCGATGTCGATGAACATTTAGATAAAAGCTAAAAAAATTAAAAAATATTTAAATTAATAAAATAAATATTTTCTATTTATAAATTAGTTAAAAATAATTAATATTAATATATGTGTATATTAGGAAGATTTTGTTGATATTTATCGTATTCCATTTATTGAAATGTCGAATTTCCATTACATAGATGTCAAATCCATGGAAAATCAACGTGGACGCAAAAATTTAGAACCATGGACCAGATTGACTCGTTCTAATGAATTTATTTATGCTTTTATAAACTTTCGGATTTTTCTACTCTCGCGCCTTTCTTTCTTGTTCTTCTTCACGCATTTAAATTTTCTCCCAAATATATATATGTCGCACCATCAATCGAAATCGAAGCTTGAAAATGGATTCTCCAACCCCAAAAGAGAGCTCGGCCAATATCGAACTCGCTGATTGCACTTCCCCGGGGCCAAATCAACCGTCGCTGCACTCCAAGTCCTCGATTCAGGAAGTGGGTTCTAGTGATTCTGGATCGAAGCCTGCGCCACCACGGTCTCGAGGTGCCGATTCCGGACTCCAGAACGAGACGAACGACATAGATGCGAGGCTGATTTACATCGGTGATCATGAAAAGACGAACGGAAATTGTGAGTTCGCTGGAAATTCGATTCGTTTTGGGAAGTATTCGATTCTAACTTTTATGCCCAGGAATCTGTTTGAACAATTTCATAGAGTTGCTTATATTTATTTCCTTGTTATTGCGGTCCTTAATCAACTTCCCCAGCTTGCTGTTTTTGGTTGGGGAGTCTCTATTTTTCCTTTAGCTCTTGTGTTGCTAGTTACAGCAGTTAAGGATGCATATTTTGACTGGAGAAGGCATCATACTGATAAAATTGAGAACAATCGGTTGGCTTCAGTTTTGGTCAATGGTAATTTTCAGCCCAAGAAATGGAAGGATATTAGAGTTGGTGAGATAATTAAAATTGGTGCTGACGACACCATTCCTTGTGATATGGTGCTTCTCTCTACCAGAGATTCCACAGGGGTTGCGTTTGTGCAAACTCTGAATTTGGACGGGGAATCAAATTTGAAAACCAAGTACGCCAAACAAGAGACAATGTTGAAAATGCCCGACGAGGAGAAGATTGATGGGTTGATTAAATGTGAGAAACCCAATAGGAATATCTATGGATTTCATGCTAATATGGAGATTGATGGGAAGCGTCTTTCTCTTGGACCTGCGAACGTAGTTCTTCGTGGCTGTGAGCTCAAGAAAACTAGCTGGGCTGTTGGTGTTGCTGTATATGCTGGCAGCGAGACCAAAATCATGCTTAACAGTTCCGAAGCTCCATTGAAAAGAAGCGGACTCGAGAGCCGTATGAACGTGCAGATTTTTATACTCTCTTTGTTTCTTGTTGCTTTGTGTACAGTTGTTTGTGTTTGTGCTGCTGTTTGGTTCTCCAGGAAGGGGCAAGATTTGGACATTTTACCTTATTTTAGAAAGAAGGATTTCTCAAAAGACCCACCTGAAACCTATAATTACCATGGCTGGGGATTGGATGTATTTTTTGTATTCCTCATGTCAGTCATTGTGTTTCAGATCATGATCCCCATTTCACTGTACATTTCAATGGAGCTTGTTCGCCTTGGCCAGGCTTATTTCATGATCCGGGACACCCAAATGTATGATGAAACATCAAATTTAAGATTTCAGTGCCGTCCGTTGAACATAAATGAGGATTTAGGACAAATAAGGTATGTATTTTCGGACAAAACGGGTACCCTTACTGAGGAGAAGATGGAATTTCGATGTGCCAGCATCTGGGGGGTCGATTATGGAGGTGAAATTACCGATCCCCTAGGCGAGCAAATTGGACACTCTGTTCAAGGTAAGCAGAGTTCTGTTGGATTTTTTTTTCCTTTTTCTCTTTCTATTGTTAAATAAGCTCTCTTAACCAAGTATTTGGCGATTGAGTTGGTTTAGCTCATCTTTTGAAGTGTTTTGTAGTAACAGTGAATGGAAAGGTTTTGAGGCCAAAAATGGCAGTCAAAATGGATTCAAAGCTTCTACAGTTATCGAAAAGTGGGAGGCACACCACGGAAGGAAGATATAGTCATGATTTCTTCCTCGCATTAGCTGCTTGCAATACCATCATTCCTCTCATTACCGAAACTTCTAATCCTTCACTGCAATTAATTGACTACCAAGGGGAGTCTCCAGACGAACAGGCATTGGTTTATGCTGCTGCGGCGTATGGTTTTATGCTAGTCGAACGAACTTCTGGCCATATAGTTATTGACATACATGGTGAACAGCAAAGGTAAATCATATTTTAGCTTTGGTTTACTGATAGAATTTATTTGCACTCCAAGCACAAACTTCAGAGCTGCTTGATTTGTATCCCATAACTATCTGCCCCATGTTTAATTTTGAGGAAAGAACAAGTTGCAATTTTCTCCCTTTTGACTCTTTAAATCCATTGAAAATTGGCTTGCAGGTATAACGTTTTGGGAATGCACGAGTTCGATAGCGAGAGGAAGCGGATGTCGGTGATACTTGGGTGTCCTGATATGACCTTTAAGGTATTTGTAAAAGGTGCCGACAGCTCCATGTTCAAGGTGATGGATGAAACTCCAAACATGGATATCATTCAAGCAACTAGAGCAAATCTTCATTCGTACTCATCAAAGGGTCTCAGGACACTGGTTATTGGGATGAAAGAACTCAGTCCTTCTGACTTCAAGAAATGGCACTTGATGTTTGAGGAAGCAAGCACCGCTCTAGTCGGCAGGGCCATCCAGCTTCGCAAGGTTGCAAGCGACATAGAAAACAATCTGTGCATATTGGGTGCCTCAGGCATTGAAGATAAGTTGCAAAAAGGTGTGCCAGAAGCCATGAAGCTTTAAGAAAGGCAGGAATTAAAGTATGGGTTTTGACTGGGGACAAGCAAGAAACTGCCATATCAATTGGTTATTCCTCAAGGCTCTTAACAAACAATATGACCAAAATTAGAATTAATAGCAACTCGGCAGAATCATGCAGAAGGATTTTAGAAAATGCAATAATCATGTTGAAGAAGTTTGCTAGTGTGTCAGGGGTTACTTTAGATAGTGGAAGAAGCACTGAAGTTGTCACGACTTCAGTTGCCTTGATTATTGATGGTACCAGCCTTGTTTATATTCTCAATCGCGATCTCGAGGAACAGGTAAATGCTTCTAGTCCTGCAAATTCTGTCTTGTATGTACTCGTGAATGTCTGACATTTTGCCTAACTCGCTTTTATTTCAGCTTTTCGAACTAGCGTCAATCTGTTCAGTTGTGTTATGTTGTCGGGTAGCCCCATTGCAAAAAGCTGCAATGGTTGCTCTAGTCAAGGGAAGGACTTCTGACATGACACTTGCCATCAGTGACGGTAGTTCTCCATGCCTTTGCTTCCGAGTTTCTCCTTTGTCTTCTTCTTTTTAATAGTTATCTTAAGTTGGATCAAGCTCTTCTCTGTTTTGGATGCCTGGGTCTGTGTGATATAAGTTGCTGTTAAATTAATCTGCAGGCGGGAACGACGTGTCAATGATCCAAATGGCAGATGTGGGTGTCGGTATGAGTGGTCTGGTGGGTCAACAAGCTGTCATAGCATCAGATTTTGCCATTGGACAATTTAGATTCTTGGTTCCTCTTCTATTGGTCCATGGACATTGGAATTACCGGCGGATGGGCTACATGATTTATGTACAACTTTTACAGAAATGCAGTATTTGTGCTTGTCTTATTTTGGTGAGTAATGTCTCTAGATGCACAATTATTGGTTCCTGATTTTTCTCTAAGAAACCAAATAACAAACTATATCTACACAAATCATGAAAATAATTGAAAGCAAAGGAAGACACAACTTATTATAGCTTACCATAAACTTCTAAAATTGTCATATGTTCATCCGTAGGTATGTGCTCTTTACCAGTTTCTCGTTGATAACCGCAATCAACCAATGGAATAATGCGCTCTACTCTATTATCTATACTGTTTTTCCCACCATTGTTGTTGGAATTCTTGACAAGGACCTCGGTAGAAGGACTCTTCTTAGTTACCCTCAGCTTTATGGGGCTGGCCACAGGCAGGAGAGTTACAACTCTGGATTGTTTTGGTTAACAATGATTGATACTGTGTGGCAAAGTATTGCTATTTTCTTCATCCCCCTCCTTGCATACTGGGCTACCACCATCGACGCTTCGAGCCTCGGAGATCTCTGGCTACTTGCCGTGGTAATAGTCGTTAACTTGCACTTAGCGATGGATGTTGTTCGATGGTATTCCATCACCCATGTTGTGATCTGGGGATCCACTCTCGCAACTGTCATTTGTGTCATTGTACTTGATTCAGTACCGTCACTTCCCAATTACTGGTGCGGTCCTCCTTTAACTATGTAGTAATCCTATTTCGTACTGTTTCTGAATCTCAATTGATCATAAGCTTTTAAACTTCGCCATCCTAATCTGATAGATATCAGAACTAACAACTTTTGAAACTATGACAGGGCGATATATCATGTGGCAGGCACGATGCCATTTTGGCTATGTTTGTTAGTGATCATCGTAGTAGCATTACTTCCTCGTTTTGTTGTAAAACACTTGTATCAGTATTACAATCCATGTGACATCCAAATAGCAAGGGAGGCAGATAAATTTGGAACGATAAGAGAGTTGGGAGTTGTACAAACAGAGGTGATCCCAGGCCTCAACAACCCTTCACAAGTATGACAAAGCAACTCTTCGTTTTTTTTTTCTTTTTTTCCTTTTTTTTCATTTCATTTTATTGTAAAGAGAAATCACAATTCATTATGCTGCTAACTCACCTGTTGCCATTTTTTTAGCAGTAAGAGAAGAGCAAAAAGCTGACAAATCAATCCGCTACTAGCAACAGTTTGAAAGCCAAAAGGGGAAAGTTTCTTACCAAATGCCATCTTCTTCAATCATTGTTGCGTGTCTGGCTAGATCATGTGCCATCGATTTCCACTCCCTTCCGATGTGGATGAACGAACTAATTCCTAAAACTTCAGCGAGAAGAATCATCTCCTCAATTAAGATGGAAACCGGTGTTAGGTCAGTTTCTTCTCTATTCAGCAGCATGGGCTCAAGGGAGGTTGATTCCACCTGAGTATCGAACTCCCATTCACCATTGATTGATTTTAAGCCTTCACATATTGTCATTGCTTCCAAAACTTTGACAGGTCGTTTTTCCTTGATGCTCCAGTTACAGGTGTTAATGAAGTTCCATGTGCAGTGAACCACCTAGAATCGACGTCGATCTTCCATTATTTCGGGTGTGGAGGGGCTAGGCTGCTTTGTCCAACATACTTCTCCTTCACACTTTGATTAGGGGTATTCCTCTTTGCTTTCTAGTTTCTCCTTCCTCTTCCTCTTTTTAAAAGCTATCTTTCTCGAGTTAGATAAAGCTATTATCTGTTTTCGATGTTCGATCTGCGAGAAGTTGCTGTTAAATTATTTTGTAGGTGCTAATGATGTGCCAATGATCCCCGAGGCAGATGTTGGCGTTGGTATCAATAGTCAGTAGGGTCGGCAAGCTGTCATGGCATCAAATCGGATTTTTCCATGGGGCAATTTAGTTTTTTGGTTCCTCTTCTATTGGTCCATGGACATTGGAATTACCAGCGCATGGGCTACATGATCTTGTACTACTTTTACAGAAATGCAGTGTTTGTGCTTGTTTTATTTTGGTAAGTAATACCTGTCTAGATTACAAAATACAACTACAATCATGAAAGTAATTGCAAAGAAGCAAATGAAAACATGCCAGTTTAACACAAGAAGCAACTTATTACAGTTTATTAGAGTTCTAATGTTATTATGTGTTCCACAGGTATGTGCTCTTTACCGGTTTCTCGTCGACACCCGGGATCAACCAATGGGAGTAGTGTGCTCTACTCTATAATCTATACTTGGGGTTGACCACAGTTATTGTTGGAATTCTTGACAAAGACCTAGGAAGAAGAACTCTTCTTAGTTACCCTCAGCTCTATGGGTTTGGCCTCAGACAGGAGAGTTACAACTCTGAATTGTTTTGTTTAACAATGATCGACACTGTGTGGCAAAGCATTGCTATTTTCTTCATCCCCCTCCTTGCATACTGGGCTACCACCACCGACGTTTCGAGCCTCGGTGATCTCTGGACAATTGCCTTGGTCATGTCGTCAACTTGCTCTCGGAAATGGATGTCGTTCGATTGTATTCCATCGCACATGCTGTGATTTGGCACCGCTGTCGCAACTATCATTTGAGTGATTGTCCTTGATTTGCTACTGTCACTTCCCAGTTACCGGTACGTTCCTATTTGTCATGTTCATTCCTATTTCGTACTGTTTCTGAATCTGCATTGTCAAAGAATGAAATATGGATACTAATTCTGCCCTATACTTGGTAGCTCATCTTAACAATGATCAACACTGCTTTTTTTAAACTTCACCATCTTAATCATAAAAAGACCAAGTTCTAAAATTACGTGGTGGGCAGGGCGTCCGTTTGGCTATGTTTGTTAGCAATCGTCGTGGTAGCATTACTTTCCCGTTTTGCCGTGAAATACCTTTATTGATATTACAATCCATGTGACATCATAGCAAGAGAGGCCGATGAATTTGGAAGGACAGGAGAGTTGGAAGATTTACAAACAGAGATGATTTTCAACTTGTTTTGATCCCATAGTGTTGTATTTTTCTTCATATAAAAAAGAAAAAAAAATCCCAATTCCTTAGGCCTGTTGCCGGTTACCATACAAATTAATTGTAATATAATTTTCGATTTTTAATTTCATGTGCATTTAAGGAACATTTTTTGGATTTTTCTATTTCTTAAATGAGTAAATATTTATTGGTTAGTGTCCTGTGGTAAAAACTTGAAATTTGGAGAAGAACCTGCGGTAATGTTCACGTTTTTATCTTAAAACAGAATTAATGCAAAAAGAAAAAAATGTATGAGATGATTTTAAGATCTTTTTAGTAATGTTCACATTTCTAAAATTAATCAAGTCTCTCGTTTCTAGTTTTAATTTTTTTTTTCCCCGAACATAAATAAAAATATTATTTTATCATTTTTTCTTCTAAAATATATTTTAAATATTAAAAAATAAATCTAAGATATATTTAATTTAAAATTTAAAAATGAATGATTACCAAAATATATTTATGTTTTTCTTTTCAATAAACAAACAAGAGATAATTACAAAGATAGTTGTTTCTATTTATTAAAAAAGAAGTAACTAAATAAAAAAATAAACATATAACAACATTACTAATAGGATCTTAAATTATCCATTTCAATGTGCATAATTAAAATAAATTCTGAAAATAATAAGTTCTCGAACGTTTGGAAATGTCAAAAAGAATAATGGTGGTGAGCGGTATTTTGGGAAAAAAAATGAAAATAAGTTTATAATATTTGTAACAATAAGTTTTTATTAGATCAAAGTATTCCTTTTCAAGTCAAACCACCATATTATAGTGAATATATATATATATATATATATATATATATATATATATATATAACCCCACACGCATGACACTTGAATGCATTTTAGAATAATATAATATAAAACATTTTCTTTCACCTCAAAGTTGATTTCTTCAAAGTTCAAAGTGCACACATCATCTATAGGGTTCGCAAATTAAATAAATAAATAAATAAAATTGCATGTCTCTCTTTTTGTCATTTTTAATAATAAATAATTTCTCTAACCCATGTAGTGTTAATTATTTTCATTAATTTGTTCATCCATCTCCCTCTATTCCCCATATTTCAAAAATTTTCCCTTTTTCTCGAACTCATGGCTTCGTAATCAGAGATAAGTGTTAATCATCAATGAATAAGCTTTGTTAATCATCAGAGATAAGTGTAAATCTCAACTTTATACCTAATGTGCTTTAGACTAAAATGTTATGATTAATTGGCTAAACCATATTAATTCTATAATTGGTAATTTGGTAATAAATAATTTCAATGATAAGATCTAAAACCATTAGTCATTCACAAAGTCAAAGTCAACGCCTCCTAAAATAACGGTCTTCGTTGGATAAATAAGTAAATATTTTATGTTTATTTGAGATGGTAAACTAAACGATATTCTTCCAAATTTGACTGACCACAAAATTTCTTATTTTGTAATTATTTAAATTACGAGTTTTAATTATAAAAATGGAAATTAACATGAGTCAGAATCATTTATCAAGTATTCCGTACTAGTAAAGTTTTGGATTTTTCCATTACAAAGAAAAATATTTTGAAATTTTATTTGATATAAGTCAAGAGAAATTTCTTCAAAATATGAACAATTTTTTTTTCTTAGAACAGGAACAAAATTGGACAATGTTATAAAAATAATAATAAAAGAGAGACCTGGAGGAGTTTGAACCTCCGAGCTTAAAAGAAGAAATAAGAAATGTGTGTCAATTACATGTTTCTATCACTTATGTTTAGACTAGATTTCTTTTTCTCTTTTTATGAGTATGATTGAAAATGATTTATGTGACAATAAATATAGGGTTTGTCATTTCTCCCATCACGTACGATATTGAAGGATTGTTGTCCAGTGTGAACGTTTTTGTTGATTTTGACATAAAAAAAGTGGTCTTTCATCGGTGAAGTTTTGATTGGTCCGGACTCTAAACTATATTACTTAGTTTCAAATACTATTTTTATCTTTGTATTCTTAAGTTTGGTTCATTTTAGTTTCGGTACTCTCAACTTCTGTTCATTTTAGTCATTGTAATTGTACTTTTGTGATTTCGTATATTTTTCAAAAGTGACCAATTTTATTTTTTATCATCATTTTTATTTCTTTTCTTTTAATTGTAATTTTAGCATGACACTTAATTCATTTAATTTCTTGAAGTATAAATTTGTACGGAATGATTTTCATTGTGTATAAAAATGAATAAAAGTTGGAAGTATATAATGTTAAGATTTCGTATTGAAAATATAAAAGATCTCATAAACCCAGTGAACTACTTATTTCATACCAATTGGTTTTAAAATGGAACTTCATGAATATTAATACAAAGACCGAAATAATATTTAAATTTTATTTTTTTTAATGATGAAACATAGATACTTTTTTATGTGTGTTTTTTTCTGCTGAATAATTTGTTGGGTTGGAGATTTGTGGGGTTATAGATACTTTTAGTCAACGATATATACCTTGATGCAATTGAACTATGATCATATTAGCATACCATTTTTATGTTAATTTCTATAGTGTAAATACTTGAATTGAAAATTTTACAAACTTTTTTTTAAATCTCACTTGGTGAAAAGTTATCCGAGTTTGATGAATTTGAAATAGGTTTACTATACGTTTGTTTACACATAGGTTTTTGAAAATGATATAGAATTATCAATTTATTCATTTAAATTTACCGTTATTACTTTAAAATTAAACATATGAATTTCATCACAACATCCATATTCTAAAGTCAATTGGAATATAATTCAACTGATTATGACCAAAAAGTTGGAGGTTCAAATCGTGTGAATTAAAAAAAAAAACCAACATTCCAACAAACTTTTAAGGGGAAAAAAATCCGAATATATTTCCCAATCTTCACTACATTATTAAAATAGTTTTCACAAAATATGCTTTTATAGGCTTATATATATATAAAATTAGAATTTGATGAGTGGCGTGCCACGTGGCACATTTATCAGTCTCTCTCTGACAGGGTCTATAAAGGATCCTTGAACAGTCCTACGTGCAGTGTAATTCACGTAGCTTGTTACCAACGGTCAACAATAAACTGCCTTCCCCCATCAAAATCAAATAAATAAGTCGCCCTATTATTCATTATTTTATTTATAATATAAAATATATATATATATATATATATTTTTTTTTTTTTTTGGCTCCCATCAAAAGTTTTAATTCTATCGTCTAATTTTGAGCTTAATTTTAATTTTAATAGGGTTTCAATTTTGTTTCTATACTTTAGCCAAATCTCATGATCTGTGTTGTCATTTATGTGTATACATATTTTTTATCAACATGATAATAAGTTTGTATTTTCTGATTTAATTGGGTAAATTAATTAGTTGTATTTAAATTTAGATTTAAGTAATAAATTTAGAAAAGTGAGATAATTTTCAAGTAGGTGAAAAATATGACGTTGGCAACAAATTCAAACATTTCAGGTGAGAGGATAATTTAAGACATTATTTCTTAATTGCTTCAGTCAGATTTATCTTTATCTAATCATATTTTTCAACAACTTTGACATATATTTTAACAATAACTTTTGACATTTTTTTTAAATTTTACAGTGACTTTGACCTTGATTATTAGTAGGCTAATTATATGTTTTAATCTATAATATTGAGTTTTTTATTATTTTTTTATTTTAAGGTTAGAGTGTTTTCCTTTTTATTGCATCCCTATTATTGAAAAAAATTATAAAAAAAATATCAATTTAGTTACTACGTTTAACTTTTTTCAATTTTATCTTCTCCATCAATAAATATTAAAATAGGTTTAAAATAAACTTACATGACAGGATACTCGACATAAATTTAGATAAAGAATTAGACTACCTAAAGAAAAAAAAAGTTATACATCCTCCATTCATGGTTCAACTTTTAAAGAAATTGGAAGAAATTTTTAAATAAAAAGATTAATTTATATAGGCTCGTATATATACCCACACACTATGTTGCATACTATTTAGGAATTAAATACTATTTCATGATCCTAGCATTTTCAATTTTTGTTTATTTTAGTTTCTATACTTTCAAAATGTTCGTTTTATTTACTATACTTTTTAAAAATTACCATTTTGGTCAATTCGTATTTTTTTTATCTAATCTTTTAGATTACAATTCCAGCACACATTAAAGTAAAAGAAAAAAGAAAAAATCTTTGTATGTGTCTAGAATTTATGTTAAAATTTTGTAAATAATGACCAAAACTATCACTTTTAACAATACAATAACATAAATAGAAGTTTCGAAATTCATGAATTAAAATAAACAAAATTTGAGAGTACAACAACTAATTAAATAAATATTTTGAAAGTACAGGAACAAAATAGTATTTAAAACCTAAAAAAATAATATTTTTCAAACATGTATGTTCTTATTAAAAGGAAAAAAAAAAAAAGCTTCCATTCCAAGCATGTAAAGGATCTATTACATATGTTGCAGTTGAACTTAAGCTTGAATTTAATGTGAATCAATGCAATATTAATTATTTATGAACAAACCCTACACAATCTTTAGGATTTAGGGTTGAGAAATGTATAAATTTAATTGCCCTATACTTTACATGGTAATTTACCCTTGGTCTATTTTACTTAGCATTCATTGGGCAATGATTTTCCTTTTCCTTCATATTATTTAAAGGAAAGTGATTTTCCAATTAATATTTGGCTAAAAATTTATTAAAATTATATCAATTTAAATACTATTTTGATCGTTGTACTTTTAAAACATTCCTGTACTATTAAAAGTAACCAATTTAGTTCCTGTTTGTAAAATTTCAATATAGATTTTATACATGATAGAAAATTATGGTTAAATTTCAAGAAATTTAATGAGACTAAAATTATGATGGAACCAAATGAGATAGAAATGAAAATGAATGAACCAAAATTGTCACTTTTTAAAAGTAAATATATTAAAATGGATATTTCGAAAGAATAAATACTAAAATGAACAAAAATTTAAAATATCACTGAAATAGACGTTTTAAAAGTATACCGATCAAAATGAACTAAATCAAATATCTAAAATAGTATTTAACCAAATGTATATACAAATTAATCGATGAGTTAAAAACAACGAGAAGGAAAAAAACGAAGAAATTATGCAGAATATCATGAAGTTCATCCAAACGTGTCGCATGCCGAGTGAAATGGTTGTTGCTATATGTTACAGTAACGAATCATTGATTCAACTGAGTAACTAAATAAAATAGATAAACCTTTTCTCTTCGTCTTGGATTGATATATCTTTTCCATGGGTGATTTTTTATTAATAATGTTAATAATAAAAGTTATTTTAAAAATATTGTATTTTAATCAAAAATGTTTAAAATATGGTATGTTTTGAAACTCTTTTAAAAAATATAGTAGTTTTAAAAAAGTGAAGATCATGGTCGTCTCTTGAAGAGAGACCAACCTTCTGTTTTTTAAAAGTACAATATTTTTAAAATAAATTTCAAAACCTACAATATTTTTAATTAAACAACTATATTTTAAAAATAAATTTCATTTGGAACAATATTAAAAAAAACCCCGCTATTCCATTGAAAGATTTCTTATATGATTCATCTGAGATAATTTAACCAACAAAATAATAATAAAAAAAAAACAAGGAAAACAAAAGAGAAAGACAAACGGCGACAAAAACGATGAAGGAAAAACAAAAGTGGAGCAGTTACATTGATTGAACTTCCAACTCCTTCCTCCATTGATAAAATTATTAATAACTCAAAAATTGACCATTTGGCAGTTTTATTTTATTTTATTCATTTTTTTTGGTTAAACTAAATTTCGACAAGTTATTCGAGATTTTGAAAGCGAGGTTGAATTATATTCCTATCATTTAAAAAGTTTCACTTTTACTCTTGAATTTTAAAATTGATTCAAATATGTCTCTGAATAATTTCATTGTCAAAATATTTAAAAGAAATTGACATTACTGCTAAGTTGTAAATAGAGCTATAACATATACGACTTTTAAAAACTGAATAGTAAATAAGATATATTTTTATTTTTGTTTATTTTTAATCCATACCCACGTCAATGATCGTGTAGTGATTATTGACACTTGTCATGTTTGTCGTTTATTTTTTTTAAAAGTCACAGTTGTAGCCAATCGAGTAGTCAGGTTAGTTTTTGTCACTCATTTTGATAATAAATTTGTTCATGGGTGTATTTGAATTGATTTTAAAAGTCAACGATAGAAGTAAAACGTTTTAAATGATGAGAGCGTATAATTAAAACTAACCTTAAAGTTTCTACAAACTTGTGAATGTCATGTTTGAAAAATATATTGGAACGTGTTTGAGTAGGATTTGAAGATCGTATAAAAATCTTAAAGTAATTTTACCATTTGTAAGATTTAAAAATAACGAAATAAAATATTTGCAATGTAATTGATTAGTAGTTTTTCAAGATAGGATTGAAAATACCTAACTTCCTATCAATTTAGTTTCAAAACAATTTGACAAAATAATTCACTACAAATTTAATATTTTGAATTTTGATGGTGATGTTTATGGAATATTATATTTATCAACTTTATTTTGCCATATATACCCTTAACATAACTGATATGGATTAACGAGATAATAATTAATAATAGTTTATTAACGTGAAATAGGAGAAAAAAGAGAGGTACAATTCAACTTAATTTTTTTTAACATACATCAATTTTAAAACTTAATAGCCCAACTGAATTTTAATAATAGTTAAAATTTGTGAAAATAAAACGTATAATTAGACATTCTTCTTCAATCATTTATTTATGAAAATATCAACTTTTATTGGAGTTTAGACGGTACCAGACAACTCCCGTATAATTGTTCAAGAGCGGAAGAGAGAAATGGTTCCACTAGACAGATGTAATGCTTTCCTGACCTAAACCTTGAAAATCTTAGCGTCATTATTCATTTCAAATAAAAAATGACGTGAATTGCTCAAATAATCTAAATTAGAGTCAAATATTGCTATAACCCAAAAAAAATGACTCATTGTAATTAGATTGAAAAAAAGAGTAAATCATTGTTATTTATAAAATACAGTAGAAATATCATAAACCTACTAATATATAGTATAATTCAACGGGTCAAGGTATACTTCTCGTCTTTTTGAACTTCCAAAAAAAAAATCTTATGAATAAGCCGATCATGAGATGCTTCTCTTATGATATTCTCAATAGTGAGAGGTACTTCTCACTAACATACACAAGTTCAGATCTAGCCATCGAAGTGTATCGAGCTAGCACACACTAATGTGTAGTATTTTTTTTTCTTATGGTATTTGTTCCCAAATTACTCGGACTTGCACTCATACAAATACAATTAATTTGAAAAATGTAGAATATATCAAAGACCTATTAAACAGAAGATTAAAAATTCAATTAATTTATTGGTTACTTAAAGTTAAAAACCTATTAAACACGAAAATAAAGTTAAGAAATACGTCAGATACTTTTAGACACCTATTAAAGACAAATCAATTTAAAATTTGTAATTTAACTTGATTTAAATAGATATTTTGATGGAGGGTACTAAAATAATTATTTATTAAAAACTCAATAATTAAAATAAAACAAGCCTAAAAGTCCAGAAAATGGATCTTAAAAAATAACATTAATTCCGTAAATATTAGAAATTCAATCCGGTCAAGTTCGGACACCCATTTCTTCCTGTCATTTTCTTATTCGCTTAAACTAATTTCTGCAGTCCTGAAAAAAAAAACAATAATGATTAAAAAAATTAAAATAAAACTAATTTCAGCAGTCCTTCTAGAACCATCTTCAGTGACCAACCCACAGAACAAAAATAATAATGATAAGAAAAAAAAAATTAAATCCATCACCATCCAATTAAATTCCCATTCTTTTTGGATGAAAGACAAAGAACAATGACTTTTTCCTCAAGTAGCAAAAATAATTAAATATTGCTGTCAGAACAAAAAAATTAAATATTAGTTTGTGTATTTAACTTGATCTATTTCAGTCATTTCGATTCCATTCTTTTATTTTAATTCTTATATTTTTAAAATATCTATTTTAATTATAGTATTTTTAAAAAATAATCATTTTAATTTATTCATTTTAATTTTCATCTCATTTTTAGATAATAATTTTTGCATGACATTTCATTTATTAAAATTTTTGAAATATAATCATAAATTAATATTAAAATATTTCTATATAACATAAAAGTTGGTAAATAAGAAGATTAAAACAGATGTTTTCAGAGTACAAATTCAAAATAAACAAATTTTAAAAACAGTTAGAGGATGAATAATGACATGCCACATGGATTATGTGAGCAGTCTAAACAAATAAAACTCGAAATATCAAAATAAGGACCTTTGCTTTGACTATAGGAATCGACCTATCAACAAAAAGCAAAGGTCAACCAGGCGAATTAAGAAAAACTGCCTCTCAACTCTCCATTATTCACTAATGCTAGATTTCCACTATTCTTTACGAAACACGTGACGTGGCTGAAGAGCTATTTTAACTGCACAACGATTATAAATATCAAATGTAATTCTACCTTCACGTATACGTAAATTTAATTTCAAATATTATATAAAATAGATCGATCTAAGATTAACTTGTAGATCCCGTCAAAACAAATATAGTTAACAGTAATTGACTTATATCGCGAGAGGTTGTGAGTTCGATTCCCTACTACTAAAAAAACTCGCACTTCGATAATATTTTAAACCAAAATTTTAATTCAAAGTTTGGTTGTTTTTTTTTTTTGAAATTTTTTCCTCGATTTTTTTGGTTCGGTGAATCCGTTTGCTGTCGCCACCCATTACGACTTCTTCCCCGTTTCTTGCTACGATCGTCTTTCTCACTCTCTTTCTCTCTCTAGATTCCCTCCTTCATTTTCTCTCTCTAACTCTACGATGGCTTTGACTTCCCTCTCCTCTTCTTCTTCTTCCCCTTCTTCCCCTCATACACGCTTATCCAACCACCATTTTCGCTTATCAAAATCCCCCCATCGCCTTCTCTCCTTCTTCCTTCTTCTCTACACACTCTCTCTTCTTAATCTTTCCTCTGCAATGCTCTGATTCTCCGGTACACACCCAGTTTTGTGTTGATCCCAGCTCCGTCTTTGCTTTCAATCGCCGTCGCTATCGCTGCATTTAAGTCTCAATCGTGCTGACGCTTCTGGGTTTTGTGTTTTGCTATCTGGGGTTTTCATGAATGCGTTGGTGATTGGGTTTGCGCTGCTCAATCGGAGGCCTGTGGTCGTTCAACCATGGCGTCGGAGCGGCCGCTTTTGATTGTATCTCCTAGAACGCCCAAAACCCAGCAGCTTCCTCCCGATTCTATACTCCGCGATCTACCGAAACCGAAGTCCGAGCGGTCCGGATCGTTCTCCGCCATGGATTCTCGGAGCCCTAATGAAAACTCGGCGAGTGCTGAACTTGGCTACCGTTCTTTCTCGCGGCGGAGTCAATCGTCGCTGCAATCGAAGTCCTCGATTCGGGAAGTGGGTTCTAGTGAGTTCGGATCGAGGCCTGTTCGTCATGGGTCTCGAGGCGCCGATTCTGAAGCACTGAGCATATCCCAGAAGGAGATCAGTGACGAGGATGCGAGGTTGATTTACGTCGACGATCCTGAAAAGACGAACGAGAAGTTTGAGTTCGCTGGAAATTCGATTCGCACCGGCAAGTATTCGATTATAACTTTTCTGCCCAGGAATCTGTTCGAACAGTTTCATAGAATTGCTTATATATATTTCCTTGTTATTGCGGTTCTTAATCAACTTCCCCAGCTTGCCGTTTTTGGTCGGGGAGTCTCCATTTTGCCTTTAGCTTTTGTGCTGCTAGTTACAGCAGTTAAAGATGCATATGAGGATTGGAGAAGGCATCGTTCTGATAAAATTGAGAACAATAGGTTAGCTTCTGTTTTGGTAAATGGTGAGTTTCAACTAAAGAAATGGAAGGATATTAGAGTTGGTGAGATAATTAAGATTGGTGCCAATGGTACAATTCCTTGTGATATGGTGCTTCTCTCTACCAGTGATTCCACTGGGGTTGCCTATGTGCAGACTCTGAATTTGGATGGGGAATCGAATTTAAAAACCAGGTACGCGAAACAAGAGACAATGTCGAAAATGCCCGACAAGGAGAAGATTGATGGATTGATTAAATGTGAGAAACCCAATAGGAATATCTATGGATTTCATGCTAATATGGAGATTGATGGGAAGCGTCTTTCTCTTGGACCTCCAAACATAGTTCTTCGTGGCTGTGAGCTCAAGAATACTAGCTGGGCTGTTGGTGTTGCTGTATATGCTGGCCGGGAGACCAAAGCCATGCTTAACAGTTCCGGAGCTCCATCGAAGAGAAGCCGACTCGAGACTCGCATGAATGTGGAGATTATTATGCTCTCTTTGTTTCTCATTGCTTTGTGTATAGTTGTTTGTGTTTGTGCTGCTGTTTGGTTCATCAGAAAGGGGGAAGATTTGGACATTTTACCTTATTTCAGAAAGGAGGATTTCTCAGAAGACCCACCTGAAACCTATAATTACTATGGATGGGGATTGGATTCGTTTTTTGTATTCCTCATGTCAGTCATTGTGTTTCAGATTATGATCCCTATTTCGCTATACATTTCAATGGAGCTTGTTCGGGTTGGCCAGGCTTATTTTATGATCCGGGACACCCAAATGTATGATGAAACATCAAATTCAAGATTTCAGTGCCGTGCTTTGAACATAAATGAGGATTTAGGACAAATAAGGTATGTATTTTCGGACAAAACGGGTACCCTTACTGAGAATAAGATGGAATTTCGATGTGCCAGCATCTGGGGAGTCGATTATGGAGGCGAAATTACCGATCCCTTAGGCGAGCAAATTGGACACTCTGTTCAAGGTAAGCAGAGTTCTGTTGGATTCTTTTTCTTTTCTATTGTTAAACAAGCTCTCTTAACCAAGTATTTGACGATTAAGTTGGTTTAGGTTTAGCTTATCTTTTGAATGTTGTAACAGTGAACGGAAAGGTTTTGAGGCCAAAAATGGCAGTCAAAACGGATCCGAAGCTTCTACAGTTATCGAAAAGTGGAAGGCACACCAGGGAAGGGAGATATATTCATGATTTCTTCCTCGCATTGGCTGCTTGCAATACCATTGTTCCTCTCATTACCGAAACTTCCGATCCTTCACTGCAATTAATTGACTACCAAGGGGAGTCTCCAGACGAACAGGCATTGGTTTATGCTGCTGCGGCGTATGGTTTTATGCTAGTCGAACGAACTTCTGGCCATATAGTTATTGACATACATGGTGAACAGCAAAGGTAAATCATATTTTAGCTTTGGTTTATTGAAAGAATTTATTTGCACTCCAAGCACAAACTTCAGATTCTTTTTATTTGAACTGTTCTCACCTTTCTGAATTCATTGAAAACTGGCTTGCAGGTATAACGTTTTGGGAATGCACGAGTTTGATAGCGATAGGAAGCGGATGTCGGTGATACTCGGATGTCCTGATATGACCTTTAAAGTATTTGTAAAAGGGGCTGACAGCTCCATGTTCAAGGTGATGGGTGAAACTCTAAACATGGATATCATTCAAGCAACCAAGGCAAATCTTCATTCGTACTCATCAAAGGGTCTCAGGACACTGGTTATTGGGATGAAAGAACTCAGTCCTTCCGACTTCGAGAAATGGAACTTGATGTTTGAGGAAGCAAGCACCGCTCTAGTCGGCAGGGCCATCCGGCTTCGCAAGGTTGCGAGCAACATAGAAAACAATCTGTGCATATTGGGTGCCTCAGGCATTGAAGATAAGTTGCAAAAAGGTGTGCCAGAAGCCATAGAAGCTTTAAGAAAGGCAGGAATTAAAGTATGGGTTTTAACTGGGGACAAGCAAGAAACTGCCATATCAATTGGTTACTCCTCTAGGCTCTTAACAAACAAGATGACCCAAATTATAATTAACAGCAACTCGGTGGAATCATGTAGAAGGAGCTTAGAAGATGCAATGATCATGTCGAAGAGGCTTGCTACTATGTCTGCAGTTACGGTGGACGGTGGAAGAAGCACTGAAGTTGTCACGACTTCGGTTGCGTTGATCATTGATGGTAGCAGCCTTGTTCATATTCTCGACAATGATCTTGAAAAACAGGTAAATGCTTTTAAACCTGCAAGTTCTATCTCATGTATACTCGTGAATGTCTGACGTTTTACCTAACTCACTCGTGTTTCAGCTCTTTCAACTATCTTGTAACTGTTCGGTGGTGTTATGTTGTCGGGTCGCCCCATTGCAGAAAGCTGGAATTGTTGCTCTTGTCAAGCGAAGGACTTCTGACATGACACTTGCCATTGGTGATGGTAATTCTCAATGTCTTTGCTTTCTAGTTTCTCCTTTCTATCCCAACATGTATCAAGCTTTTGTCTGGTCTGATAGAAGTTGCACCTATTACATTATTTTGTAGGCGCGAATGACGTGTCAATGATCCAAAAGGCGGATGTGGGTGTCGGTATCAGTGGTCTTGAGGGTCGACAAGCTGTCATGGCTTCGGATTTTGCCATGGGACAATTTCGATTCTTGGTTCCTCTTCTATTGGTCCATGGACATTGGAATTACCAGCGGATGGGCTACATGATCCTGTACAATTTTTACAGAAATGCAGTGTTTGTGCTTGTTTTGTTTTGGTGAGTAGGCTTTCTCCGGATTACAAACTACAACTAAACAAATCATGAAAGTAACTAAAAAAGAAGATTAAGAAACATTCAACTTTCTTGATCACAGACATCTGATATTATCCTGTGTTTTCCATAGGTACGTGCTCTTCACCGGTTTTTCATTGACGACGGCGATCAACCAATGGAGCAGTGTGCTCTACTCTATAATCTATACTTGTTTGCCCACAATTGTTGTTGGAATTCTTGACAAGGACTTAGGAAGAAGGACTCTTCTTAGTCACCCTCAACTCTATGGGGCTGGCCATAGACAGGAGAATTACAACTCTAGATTGTTTTGGTTAACAATGGTTGACACTGTGTGGCAAAGCATTGCTATTTTCTTCATCCCCCTATTTGCATACTGGGCTACCACCATCGACATTTCGGGCCTCGGAGATCTCTGGCTGCTCGCCACGGTAATCGTCGTCAACTTGCACTTGGCAATGGACGTCATTCGATGGTATACCATCACCCACGCCGTCATTTGGGGGTCCACTCTCGCAACTGTCATTTGTGTCATTGTTCTCGATTCGATACTGTCGCTTCCTGGTTTCTGGTATGTGATATAACCCCGTTTTTCAGATTGTTTTATAAATCATCTCCATTGATCAGCTGAAATGACCGAGTTTTCTGAAACTATGGCAGGGCGATATATCACGTGGCGGGCACGGGGGATTTTTGGCTATGTTTGTTAGCGATCGTCGTAGTAGCATTACTACCCCGTTTCGTCGTGAAATACCTATATCAGTATTACAGGCCATGTGACATCCAGATAGCAAGAGAGGCTGATAAATTTGGAAGGACGAGAGATCTGGGAGTTGTACAAACAGAGATGATCCCAGTCCTCAACAATCCTTCACAAGTATGACAAAATCAACTCTTTGTTCACTTATTTATTATTATTATTTTTTTAATTTCATTTCATTATACTTCACAGTTTTGTATGTTCTTGTAAAGAAAAACCACAATTCTTTAGGCTGCTTCAGAATAATTCTCCTGTTGCCAGTTTCCATCCATAGGAATTGTAATATAAATTTTTTTTTTTTAATTTAAGATTTATTTTTTGTTCTTGTTGTGCATTATTAAGGGTAGTTCAAAATTGCACATTTTTGGTTGTGACTAACTTTTAAATCTATTGATATTATTGATGATGAGAGGTATTTTGGAGAAAAATAAAATAAAATTTTGGAGTTTCAATAATAAAATAAATATAAGCCTTTGAAATGTGTTGAACTGAACGTGGGCTGGCAATGTATTATTGTACCTAATTAAAGTGTATATATATTTTAAAGACGTGTTGCTAATATAAGTATATAACATAATGAAAATTTGATTCGTGGAAATAGTGACTACAAAATAATATAATAATATTAATAATTGAAATCTATAGCTATCCTAATAATTTCAAAGTTTAAAATACTAGTTTGGTTCTTGTACTTTCAGCCATTGTTCATTTTGGTCCCCATACTTTGAAAGTGTACGTTTTGGTTGTACTTTAAATTTTGGTTCATTTTAGTCATCGTACTTTCAAAATGTACATTTTAGCCTCTATACTTTTAAAAAGTTACCATTTTATTCTTAATCTCATTTTCTATATTACAATTTCAACGTGGCACTAAAATCAATATATTTCTTCAAATGTAAACATTACTTTATACTCAAGAGTTGTCGTTATGTGTAAAAAATATGTGTTAAAATTTTATAGAGTGACTAAAATGATCACTTTTTTAAAGTATGGAGACTAAAATAAACATTTTCAAAATACAATGACTAAACCAAAGTTTAAAGTACATGGACCAAAACCAACACTTTCAAAATACGGGGACCAAAATAGTATTTTATTAGTATTTTTATGATTTAGTTTTATATTTTTAAATTGATAATAATTCAGTTCCTGAATTTTAGAATATAACAATTTAGTTATCGTTGTATAAATTACAAATATTGAATCGATACTTAGTTTTTTATCAGATTTTTCACCAGGGTTATATTGTTACAAACTTTAAACTACATGGACTAAATTGTTAACTACTAAAATTTAGGAGCTAAAATGATGGACTAAATTATTAAATACTAAAATTTATAATTGAAAGTAAAAATGCTAAATTGTTACGACTAAAATTTAGGAATCCCACCAAAAAAAAATATTATAACCATATGGTCTTTTTAGAAGGAAAAAAAATATTATTAACTATTTATTAAAATACTTTGTTTTTATTATTATCTATTAAAAAATATATTATAGAGTAATCTCCCACCTCAGCATAACTCAAACAATTGTGGTCAATATTTTAAATGTCAGACATTCGAGGTCTCAATTTCATAAAAGTAATGAAGAAATGTCGATGTTGATAAATATTTATGAAATGTTATAAAACCAAAAAATTCATAAGAAATATTTAAATTAAACCATCAAGATGACCATCTACCTTAAAAATTATTAATTCCTATGTGTTTCCGGATATCAAATGTTATTATGTCTATACTAATGATGCTGTTTATATGTTGTCATTTTTTTAATATACTGAGAATATCGATTTACTTTTCAGGTTGATGCCAAACTCATAGTCATATGAAATTATCGAATGAAAATTTAATAGTTTGATTAAGATATACGTTTCGACTGGGAGCTCGTGACTTCGTGTATTAAAAATAATAATAAATAAACAAACTCGATATCAATTATTTAAACTCACGATGGCGTCACTCTCCGGCATTGTGTCAGCTCTCAGTCAGGGTTTTTGACCAAAACGCCCTCCCGAACAAAAGGGCTTCATCAGGGTTTAACATCTCTGATCTAGGGTTTCTCTGTACGGATCATTTCCTCTGCAAATCAATGGCGAATCGGTTCACCAAGCTCACCAAGTTCGCTTCTCGTCCTCTTCTCGTCCCCCGTCAATGGCATAGGCCGTCGTCATTTCATCGTCTCGATGCTCACGAACACCTCCAGGTCACTTTGCATTTCAATTTCGGTATCGACTTTACTTTACTAGTTCTGACTATCGAATGCTTGCTCGATCGGTGAACATGATCGTCTTTGGTTTGGTTGGGAGTCGGGATTGATTTCGTCATTTAATTATCATTTGAGTTTACCTAAACTGCACAAGAATGCATTATTTTAATGTGATTTTTATGCGCGTTTTGGAAATAGTAACATTGTTCGATGATTTGATATCTCGAGTGTTTTCTGTCTTTCGCGTGGAAATCAGGCAGCTGAGGTAGCGAGAAGAAGTGGGGTGAATGTTTCTAAAAGAGTTGGTGTACCTACCCTTGACGAAGCAAAGAGGGCGTTACCGGATAATTTTGCAACCGTAAAAGAGGTGTGTTCTGGATATTGGCGGAGTAAATCAGTTTAGAAGAAGATGTGTAGGTTATGTAGGTTATTTTTCTGCATTACAGGATCTATTAACTGCGAAAAAGGATCAAAGAACAATCTAATAATCAAAATGTTTCTGTCTCAGATTCCACTATGCACAAAATAAAACCTTTACAAGCTTTGATTTCTAGCCATAAAGTGATTTTGTGGGACATTCGGCTAGAGAGGAATAGTAGAACGTTTCAAAGCATTGAAAAGGAACACTCAGTTTGGGATTATATATTTTTTTGTTCCTTCTTTTCTGGGCTTTTGTTTAAAACATTTTTGACTACTCCCATCCTGTATTATATCAACCCAAATAGGAGCATGGGCACCTTATAGTAAGCTTTGCAACTCTTGTTTATAGAAAGAAAAGGAAAAAAGATCTCGCTACTTGATTTATTTATCTCTTCAAACATCTTGCAAAAGAATGTAAGAAAATAAATGTTGAACTCTTTAAGATAGAAGTAGGTATTGCTCGAAAGACTTCTCTCATTATAATTATGATCTTGCGTTAACTACCAAGATTCTTAGTCAATGCAGAAGATTTTATAATTTGGGATTTCTATTAAGATGTGGAATTGATGCAGCTGCTTGGTCCACTAAAGTCGGGCTTTGCCAAACGGTCTGCTGGGTACGTGTGCGATATATCTAAGGTGCAAGAACTATTTTATGTTGTTTTATTTTGATTTCTCTTAGCATTCATCGAATGTCTGATTTTATTATTCATTGACTTTGCAGGATGCAGTTGGAGCTGATGGTTGGTTTTAATTGCTTCTACTTTTCTTGAACTTGGTTATTATGCGGGGGCGGGGGGTTAGTTCAAGTTTTCTCATTGTATGCATGGATTTGACTCATCTGATAAGGTTGATTGCATATCTTGTATGATGCTATTCTGGTCCATGTAGGGCGATGAAAACTGAAGGAATCTCAAGGAATTTTCAAATCGTCTAAATTTCTAATTTTTGTTATGGATTAACATGTGAAAAATAAGCTTCTAGGGGCTTAATGTTGGGAGCAACTAATTGAGTCTATTATCATTGGTCCTTCTATTATTTTTTTTTTGGGGGGGACGTCTCTCCCTTGCAATTTTAACCTTCCATAATATATTTTTTTGTAGGTATTGCTGTTTTATCTAGATGGCAGGATGCAAGAGGATCTGTTGTCAATTTGTCACCATTAGTTGGCATCAGAAGATGTGATAAAAATGCTGGAGTGCCATGCTTCACTAGATTTATGTCATCAAAGGCTTCAGAGCAACGTGGACAAACCCCATCTGAGGTTTGTGTTTGTATCTCAAATTTATGCATCCTCAAATGATAATGAAGATCACAACTAGTTATTCCTCAGACGACAATGACCATATCTTATAAAACTCAGATCTTATAAAGCAAGAACATTGGGATAATTAGGATATCAATCATTTTTTATTTATTTTTAAACGTTGTTGAATGCATATCTGTGCACATCTCCAAAAGTAAAACCCACTCCCTTTATTTATAACCGTCAATGCAAAAACAACTTCTAAGTTATTACAAATATGGCATTACTAATCTTCCTAGTAATGTTCTCAATATTACCTTACTAATACTCTATCATAAAATCACTGAGAAAGTTACTACTAGATACCCAAATGGAGGCATAGAAATAAGTATCGAACCACACATCTCCCCATGACTGTTTATACCATGAAACACCTTTCTATTTCGTTCCATCCATGTACTCAGTAAGATTGTGGAGAAACCTACCTTCCACAGAATAATTGCACGGTACCAAAATTTATGTTTACTAGGCATCTCATTCAAATGTTGATGGTAAAAATGAAAAAAGACATAACTGAGCGTTGCGAAATAGGTTCTTGACCAAATTTCTTGTGTGTATTCTCATTTATGTGCGTTGGCCTGATGATGCTGCTCCTTTCTGTTGATCAATGATGCATTAATCAACCTGGTCTTTTCGTTGATTTTATTATCAGAGAAAAAAAGAAATATCGACAGTGGAAGATCCCTTTGATGCTCCCACATATAATATACCAGAGAAGCCTGTTACATTTGCAGAGGGAGCTTCCTACAGTTTTATCATCCTTGCAGGGCTTGGAGTTGCAGCTGCTGCTGGATATGCAGTCTTTAAGGAGCTTATATTTCAACCAAAAGAGTAAAGAATCAACTTATAGTTAGATTAATATTATGAATACCTGCCTAGAATCATGGCTTTAATTTACCCTAGTGATTCCCTCTAATTAGTCACTCTGATATGTAAATTCTTTTGCTTTAGGTATAAGATCTTTGACAAGGCTCTTAAAAGGATTCAAGACGATAGCCAGGTTAGTGAAATTAACTCCGATCTTTTGTATTTTATATGTGTCATGTTGTCAACACTTATACTTTCTCTTGGGGTTCATGGCGCCTTGTTAAAGAAACATAATTCAACAAGGACAAACATGTCCATGAAAACAAAGATACTAAATGAAACTAACACAACCGAGGCAATCAGATCTGAAAAAAACCAAATGACTGAGAAAGATAAACTAGGAACCTGGAAAGAAAGCAAAACAAGTCCCGCAAGAGACCAAAGAGGAACTAACCTAACTACAGCAGATTCTCAGGTAATCACCAACCAAGAGAACAAAGAGAACCACATAGTGGACCTCTTGCAGTTTAATTGAAGGTACTCTCTAGATGGACCGATCTTTTTTCCACCTATTATGGATTAGATATAGTTCATGTTTTTTCAGCATGGTGTTCATAATTGAACAAGTAATGTGCTGCCAGAAAGCATCTTAAATATTATTTCATCTCTTCTTTCTGAGTTAAGTATAATATGATTTTCTGTGGATGCAGAAACAGACTTTTTTCATGGTTTTTAGTTTCAAAAAGGGCTTTCTTGTTGTATCTTCTATTCCTTGGAAAGGAATTTAATGATTCATGTTACTTCACTAATCATGAAAATAGAACTCAGTTAATTGGAAAATAAATAGGCATAGAGACAAGGGGGTTGGCATGTGGGCAACGGAATAAATCTCACGCACATCATTTTCTTCTCTGTCTATTAAATTCAGACTATTTTGTAAGTTGATGTTTTATTCTTTTCTTCGCATTATCTCTCATGAATATTTTATTTGAAATAAATTCTTTTTTTTTTTATTTCAAAGAATTTGACTTTTGAAGCCTGCTCAACAATTGGCTTTACTTATTTCTATTGTTCAAGCTATCCTCTGAGAAAATTAATGTTTTATTAGATTGGTTTTGCTTTCCTGTCAGGTTAGGATAAGAATTGGTTCTCCTATAACTGGTTATGGGCAAGAAAGTAGAAACCGAGCTGCCCGCCAACGCATTCCCAATAGGGTATGGACTGATGAAGATGGTGTAGAGCGAGTAGAGGTAATTCATGTCTTAAATTGTGATAAGGTCTTTCTGTTGTTAGTCATGACAATTTGTTTCTCAGATGTTTTACTGAAACGCACCCCATTCCCCCCTTTTCACTGGAAATTAACACATATTGTGTAGTCTGTCTTCATCAGCTAATAGAATTCCTTTCCTCATACCTTGTCAAATACACGTATGCAGATAAATTTTTATATACGTGGGCCCCACGGAGCCGGTAAAGTTTATACCGAGATGTTCAAGGATCAAGTGGACAAGCAGTGGAAGTTCACATATTTGATCGTCGAGGTGAAATCACCTTCTCCCGCCCAATTGATCCTAGAATCTTATATGCCTGCCTGACTTTTAGGCACCAAATTCGCCCAAGATTTTGTACCAAGTCACACATGGTTTAGAATTATCATCTCATGTTTATAATAGTTTCTCCTTCCTCTCACCCCATCTATATTTTTCGACACAGTCAGGCTAATTTCTTTTTATAAAGTTCGATATCTCTGATGACCTACTAGCAAGAGAGTTCCAATAAGTACTCACTACTAAATTTGCTTCCACTTGATCCAACAAGTGAGTCAGAATCAGAAAGTTTTGGCCATAGATGAGCAGTTATCTGTTTTTGGCAACTCATTATTTGATTCTCTCTAGCTAGTTGCTACTACCCCCTTCAAAGGGCATTTATTGTTTACATGTCTTGTTGTCTGTGTGCAATTGTCCAAAAGTCCCAGATTTTGTCATGTGAGGGCTTGCCTTGCCTACTGTAATGGAGCCACTTCAAAGAATCAACTGCAAAGTTGAAGGTATGAAGCTTATTTATTTGTTCCCTCTTTAGCTGTATATATCTTGTTCGCATGCTGTGTTCAATGTACCACTTTGCCAGCTTATATTGTTCGTTCTGTGGTAAGAACTTGTGCTTTTTCTTTTTTCTTTTCTCATTTTAGGCCTGCTGATTGTTCCATATGAAATTTGAGCCTTTTGTTTTAAATTTACTTCCATCTTTTTAATAATGATTTTCAAATCTAAGTTAAATTTTGAAAACTAAAAAGAAAAGATCGGTAGTTTTTAAAATCTTGTTATTTAGCTAAGAATTCTAATAAGTTTGATGAGAAATATGATAAACTTATGGAAGTAACTGTGAACCATGATTTTTTTAAATTAGATCAGGAACATAATCATTATCAAATGAAGTGTTTTAGTGTCTAGGATAATATACATATCAATAATTTTAGTTAAATTTATAAGGAATTGATATTAGTTATTTTAGTATTTATGCTAACACAATCGTAGTTTGGTAAAGTGATGTAGAGAGTTCGACGGACCTTAGTAAAATTTGAAACTAAATATATATTTTAATTCCAATCTTTACTGTTTTAAAATTTTTGATATTTTATCAATTTTTTTTATAAATAATTTTAATTTAGTCATTTTGTATTTACATTTTTTAGTTTAGTCTCAATGAATGTTAACATTGGTTTGGTGATAAACTTCAATAGCATAGTATGGGAAAAAGAGTGTAATCTAAGAAAAAATTACTTGAAAGTTCAATTAATATATATCTCAGTGGTAATTAATATATATCTTTATTCAAGAGGTCATGAGTTTAATATTTTTCTTCTAAATTTTTGCCAATTCAAGAATAGAGGGACTAAATTAAAAAGTTTATGAATAATGCCCAAATGTAATCTAGTGAAATATAGCAGTCCATTGTTCAAAACCATATGAGAATCCTAGAGAGTGAATGAATCCTAAAAGCGTGTAGCTTCTTAATATCATCATTTAGAGCTAAAAAAATGTGGGAAAAAACTACAAACAGAGGTGGCTTTTTTACATCTGGAAATTTTTAAATAAAAAGTGAATGGACGGGGTTGCCACAAGCAAAAGCAAAGCTACGAGTGAAATTCCATTATCACTGTGCAAACAAAAGTTCAGGATCACGATCCTTTGTCCCGGCCATTGTAGCACGTGTGTCGTCCAGGGCATAAGGGGCA